ATCTGCGGTCGGTACCTTAGTCGACAGGAATGCCACACGTTTCAGCAATTATCGATATATAAGATATTTATGTATATATATATACCCCATTATATCCCATAGCATCCAGTTACCACTATAATCAGCTGGAAATCAGTGGTTCCAGAGACTAAGCCATAGCCATAGACCTAGAATCCCTGGTTCCTTTTATAGTGGTAACCGGGATCCACTGGGTATAATATGGTATTATATATGTTTCTTGGTTAGTCCTGAGATGCCCCGAGTCATACCAAAATTATGCTCATGTGCCATCCCAGATTATGCCAAATTCCACCACCTAGCCGCCTCGTCACACCCAAACCTCGAGATGGCTCCTGTCGATTGCTGTCGAAGCCGCCGAGCAGGTGGATCTCATGACCCACGGTCACCACCGCACATCCCGCACGAGCCAAGGAGGTTGTGAAGGGTGTTCGCCAAACCTTCTCCTCTTCGCGCTGGTGCCGGCACCGCCCAAGGGCCCAAGGCGACGCAGCGAGGTCGGTCGAAGCAAGTTGTGATATTTTGTAGGCCCCTTTATTGTTCGAAGGGGTGAACCATCCATGGGGCTTACTACACAACCCCAAAGAAACAAACATAAATTAACCACCCGGCATCCCAAACACGACCACACTTTTGAACTTACGTGGTAACAAACGAGTGGTTGATAGGCTTTTGCCACATACTGAGTGAATCCAAGAATAAACGACCATTTAGAACATTTATCACTTGGCCACTTGCTCCCCACAAGGCTGATTTGCATGTGTGCAAACCCTTCTCCACCCCTTCCACTTCCGCCTTCTCCGCCCCTTCCACTTCCGCCTTCCTCCACCCCCTCCCTCTCCGCCCTCCTCCAGGTCCAAGCGATCCACCACGGGCACCGTCAAACCGCTGGCGCCCAGTCCACCCAAGAGGTACACCACCGCGCCCGGCCCACTGCGCTCGGGTCCGACGAGGCCGCAGCCGCCGCCCGAGCGGGGCGAGGGCATGGCGGGCAAACGATCCCAGACGAGACGCTGCAGGTCTAACAGTTCCACCTTGGGAGAGACACGGGGCGTCAAGGATGATAGCAGGAGGATCAATGGCTCAAGCTATTTTTGAGTATGAAATGACGTGGCGAAGTGCTGATGTCTATCAATGTGCCTTGTCCAGCACGGTGCCATCTGCCAGCTGTCCGCCCATGACCAGGATCTGTCCCTTCACTCCGCAGGCGCAACAGCCGCAGCGGGGCGTCGGCATCGCTGGCAGGCGACGCCACTTCCGCACGGAAGGGTCGAAGGCTTCCACCACGTCCAGCACTTGCCTCAGTTGGGCACCAGCGTCTGCCAGGTGTCTTCAAAAGCTTCATGAACCATGGAAGTCGACAAACGGTGTCTTTTTCAGAAAGCAGACCTTAAGTCTGTGACGGTGACGGGTCATTAAGTTTGACAAAACAGTAGTAGACATGGGATCTGCTGATCTTCTTGAAGCTATCATCTAGGGGCGGGTTATCCATGAGCAACTTAGGGCAGCCCAAGGTGACCCAGGATGTTTGGTTGACCTTGGGCTATATCCTCTGTACATGCGACCCGGATCAAAGGATCTGATAACAATGGCTCAGCATCAAGATGTTGTTGACATTGTGATCCGACCCTTTACAACCTGGAAAGACATGGAAAGAGTGTTTCACTCTCCCGATGCATCTATCCTTCTCGTCCACTGGACTTCAGGGCGAAGAGAAGGAACGGCCGGATGACGAACGGCCGCGCCCAACAGCAGCGGCCGTACAGTCAGAACACCGGACCAGGGCCTGTAAGGAGGTGAACAACACCTACCCCCCAGGGCTGGTGATGTGTGTACAGAGCCTGCAAAAATACACGTCACTAAACCGTTTTGGTGCAATTTGTTTGGTAATTATGTCGTGGCATTCTGCATGCTATCTACTTGCTTAAACTGAACCCTCCTAAGCATGAACAAATCTGTGGTGTAGTAATGTCTGCATCTGTCTCTGACTAAGCAAACCTAAACAAACACAAAGTGTCTTATACAAATCGGCGCCTGGGAGAGGTGCTGCTACCATTCTTCTGCATCTTTATCAAAGCAATTCCAGCGATTTTCCATGTTTCTTCGATCGCAAGAGCGATCTGCGATCCGAGGGGCCATGCCATGACCAAGCCTCCACCTGAATACAAGATGCCACGGAAATCGGATGCTTCAGTCAATATCAATATCACCCTTTACATTCCAAGACACGAAGACAGGTGTTTGGACTGTTTGGATCAAGGAGGGCCTAACACAACCGGTGGGTCAACTTGGGCTGACTATCCAACATCATCTCGTCAAGTCTTCGACTCAAAAATGGTGTTGACATTCCTCCAACTCGCCACCTGGTTTAACAACTTCTCAGGAAAAGTCTCGACACACATTGTGCCCTTTTTTTGGGGAACACAACTGAGCAACTGTTTCCACCACGTCCAGTTTCGCTCCAAGCCACACACCACCAGTTTCTGGTCCGCCACGGCGCAGGCAGCGCCGGCACGTGCGGTGGGCATGGGCGGCAGCCGGGTCCAGTCGCCTGTTTGGGGGTCAAAGCATTCGCACGCGGCAAAGGCTGCCCGCTGGTCCTAGCGAGCAGCGACGCGGCCTTTGCTTTGAATGGAGGTGACGTGAAGGAGCAACCCTTTAGACTTGAAAGCTTACTTACTTAGAACAAACCCTCCCCAAAGGACTGCCCGTGAAAAGCACAAACAGGAGGCCCTTGAGGCACATGTGAGCCCAGAAGCTGTCACTAAATGAACAACTATACATGGGGAGAACCACAGGAGAAATGATCATCAAGTCAAGTCTTGAATGAACACAGTTCAGCCCAACTTTGCATTTCTGGATCAAGGCCAAACTCTTTCCAGTCTACAGGTCCAATGACATTGAACAAGGGCAAAGAAGCTTCACTCAGAAGCAAACATGAAAATGGAGGCGGTTAGGCTAGGCCAATCTTTCCGCATACACCTGAAGCTGGTTGAATGTGGTTGAGGAACTTCCTGATGGCTCCCGGTTCAAAGGCCTGATGGCTTCCCCCAAAACAGCCAATCTGTGGAGTCTGGCGGGCCCAAACCACGCTCAGTTGCGAGGGTTGCCCCCTCGAAACTCACACCGGATCTCCTTCTCACCACCCAAAACATAGATCTTGCCACCCAGACCTGCGCACCAAGCGCAGCCGGCAGCAGGAGAGTGGCATCAAGTGGCATCTAGTTGAGACCACCAATTCCACACGGGCGGTCGTTGTATCTAGTTCTTTGACTTTCTTGTTCATGACTAGTTCTTAGGCGCTTCTACTCACTAACCACCAGTAGTACCCACTGGTGCCCATTTTTGGTAGAAAAGGTTTCCAAGGACAACGACTTGGTTCTGAGGGACTTACGTAGCTCTTTCATGCTCTTTCGTATGCCTTTTTGATCATAATTGGTTTCTTCTTGCACGTGCGTGTTGATTTGGTGCCCCACTAATCATCTGACAACGCTCCTCAATCATAAGTCAAATCCAACGGTGAGGAACGTCACAAAGCAAACCAGCTGATTCGCTTGGTGCACTTGGGTTGGACGGCTCGGGGTCACAGGACTGCCTACCAACAGAATTCCATACTCATACAGTATTCTCCAGGACATGCTGGCATGATTGGACAATAGGGTTTGGTACACCGACGTGACCAAAACTCTGGTGGCCACATGAAGTCCAACTTCCAATGCATAAGCATTGGCAGAATGAGGGTGACCGTAGCTTCCCCAAACTTTGTTAGATAACAAGGTGATGGGATGCATGCTAGTCTGCGCGTCAAGCGACCGGCGGCACAACAAAAGCTGCGTGCTGTAGGCATGGGGGACAGCACTTCCCACTCTCTCCTGGCCTTGGCAGGCAAGCCCAATCCAACAAGCAGTTACTGTAAACAGCAATACTCACAGGGGTTGGGAAACCGATCTTGCTTTGACTGGTGTGTCCCCAGGCAAAAAAAAGGTGCTGAAGCGCTTGGCTGAGGAGATTCCGATAAACATCAACAAGTGACAGGTCTTATGGACAAAGAAACAAAGTAAGGAGTAAGGAGGTGTGGGTCTTGTAGATGCCTCCCGACTGAGGACGGCTTGAAATGCAACAAGGCTTGACTACAAGGTTGTGCAACATGTTGCCTCTGAGGAGCATGCAGCACACCGGAATTCCAAGGAGTCCAGCTTGTATAACATAATCGCAACATCTCGCGACTCGGTGTCAAAAAGCCCTTGCGGCCTTGCCAGTACTGAATTCCAATGGTCTTCCATATCACAGGGCCACTTCGCCATACTTCAAACATCTGGCATACAGCCAAACCCGCCAGAGGGGTCGCGGTCGTCCGTCGCATGCTCCCCCGCGGTGGATCCTCCTGTCTCCCAGTGGCATGGACGTAGCGCTCCAGCACCGGAGTCGTCTGGCGTAGCGATTGGCCACCGCAAAGGTAAATCTCCGGCAGGGCTGCCTGAGAGGCGTGACTCTGCGAAGGGTTCTCGGGGCCTTCGAAGCAACGGCAGAGCTTGAGTTGGTGCAACCAACCTGGACCTTTAAACAGAACATACGCTACGAAGTGCACGTTTGCACGATGAGTGTTTCTGAGTTTGAGGACGTATTTGTATGCAATTGTCAGATGTTTTCTTGGGGAATGCACCACAGAAAGTTTGGGCTCAACCATACTGGAACTATGTTTGGGAGACTGTGGGAATGCGGTTTGTTTATATTTAAGTTTTTGAATTTATGTTTAAATTGATTCAGGCTCCATGAGGAATGGTCATGTGTCATCACATGTTCTTCTCACTCACGTGCTAGCTCAGGACTTCGACAGAATTTTATACTACTTCCAATTCCAATAAGGACCACATTGTGCCATTGTTCAATGGAAAGCATCATGTAAGTCTTTAAGCGCACTCTCGCACCAAGTCCTGAGTGATATCTAAGAAACGGGGCCGTCCAAGGAGGATGCTGCCTAATGTTGCGGAGGTGGTCATGGTTTTGGTGGGCGACTGATCCTTCCAGTAGAAATGTGATGAAATAAAGCTCTGTCCCCAAGTGCTGGTGCCCAAAAGCGCTTAAAGCGCTGTTCAACATTTAAATGTGATGTCTTTTTGATTATTTTTGCACAAAAGAACGCCAATCAAACCTGCAAACAACTTCCTCTTGTGACAGTTTGGTGGATGCAAAACCCTCCTCATAGGATGTGTCAAGTCATGGCCCGTGGAGCACCGCGATGTGCGGTAGTTGTAATGTTCTGAGTTTTGACAAGGCTGGTGCAAACTAACAAACATCACCTCTCCAATTCAATCCCTTCTCTGATTACAGGGACCATCACTTTGCAAACATGCTGATGCTGATGCTGCTGCTGCTGCTGCTGCTGCTGATGATGATGATGATGATGATGATGATGATGATGATGATGATGATGGCATCTTTCATTCTATCATAAACCCAAAAGGTGCCGGTGGTCCACATGGTTAGCGCCACTTTAAACTGTACTTACTTCACCATCACACCCTGGAAGCACAGACACAAACTCCACCCGGCCACCAAACACCTCTGACTTCTTTCGCACCTCCCCGTACTATGTGCCGAAAGAAACGTGCCCCCCCCCCCCCCCGGCAAAACGCCCAGGCCACACGCCTCTCGAAGCCGCGTCAAGCCCGCGCCCCTCAGGTGCTCCCCGTGGTGTTTGGAGCTCTCGGCCAAGCACTTGGCGCCCCAAAGACCCACGAAGCGGCCCAGTTCACAGGCCACCTAGCTGGAGGGAACGAGCTGGGAGGGTTGGGGAACGAGCTGGAGCTGGAGATTTTTGAGCGGGTGACCCGTGGAGAAACTGGGATGCATCAGTCTGATGTCCTTTTTTTTGGGGGGGGGGTGAGCTTGTCGACATGTGTTTTGTTAGTGTCTTTCATGGAAGACAACGATCTGCCCAACTCGGGAATCAACTGGACTTTGTTGCTTACAAGGCCACCGTCTCGAAACTGTCGGACGGGTTCGTGCCCATCATCTTGCATGCTCCTATGATCTCTTCAGGCTGACGCGACATACCACTTCTCCTAGGATCTGCAGGGGTTGGGGTGCCCTTGCTCACCTGTGGCCGGCGAAGCACCAGGGCCAGTAAATCACTGAGCCGTCGCGCGCGTTGTTGCCGCTTCTGCTCCTGTTTGGCCATCTCCTGGCATCGAAGCTGATGATTTTCAGTTGTGGGTTGCAGTGGTGTATGTACAGTACCCCATATAACAATATATATATATGCCTGGACCCCCTGACCACCTACTTATTTCCAGGCGATCCAGATTTCTAGGCGAAGCCTAGAAACGCGCACATGGATACATTTCATGAAACGATCCACATGTTGTCACTGCATGTCAAACCATGTGTTGGAGATCAAAAACAATCATGGATTGGATTTAGACTAGCAAAACCTGTAGATCATGTCATTGGAATGTTCTGACGCCTGTCCTTTGACCTTATTGCTGTAGAATGCGTAGTGTAGATGTATATATATAAGAGAGGGGAGCGCTGTGAGCGGCGCGTTTTTCGATGAAAATGAGCATTTTTCAACCTTTTTCATGCGTTTTCTTGAGAATGATTGATGTGTCTGACATTGCCTGGAAGGATCTGCCTGGAAGCGCCCAGATGTTATTCAGTAAGATCGGTCAAGAAACCTACAGTGATTATGAAAAAAAAGAACCAAAATTGGAATGATAGAATGAATGACTTTACAAGAAACTTAAATGATCACTTTAAACAACATAGAACACTATATGCTGAAGAGAAAAATATAGCAAACAAGGAGAAAATAGAAGACCGCAGGGGCTTATGGAATGCCTATTCATCACCAAGTGCTTTTTACAAAACAAGTAAGACTTTATACATAAGTGGCACAGGTGGTTGTGATGGATCTTTAACAAGGGATATTATGGATGATCTGTTATTAGTACCTACTAGAAATGTTCATCACAGTGAGAAATACAAACATGTTATAGAAGAATTGGAAAAGTCACCAGAAATAACCCGTTTGGTTGGGCATAACCTTGCAAGTGCTGTAATAAGATCAATCAAGAACAACCTAATTCATTTGCTACAACAACCTATGCTACCCCTACAATAAAAACAAAAAGGAAAGGAACAAAAGTCCCAAAAGACTTGACTACCGCAATCCATCCGATATTGTTTCAATGTTGGATGGTTACGCTGTAACTTCTGATTTGAAAGAACCTAACCCTTTAATGAGCCACAGCTATATCAATTTTGAAGGGAACGGCCTTTGGAACATCAATCCCGGCACCAATATAAGCAATGGATTTAACCCCAATCACTCATTTAAAAAACAACATTTAAACTTAGTTTAAATACGTAATGTTATGGTGGATTACTCCAAGGCAAAATTTTACAGAATACTAAATGACAAAATGACGATGTCTATATTGGTGCTACTTGTCAGCCATTGAGTGTTAGAATGGCAGGACATAGAAGGGGGCGGAATGGCAAAGATAAGAAACATTACAAATTGTTATCACACAATCACCCAAACATTCAATGCTGGTGGTGGTGAAATTAATATGAATATTGTAAAATCATCTTCTAAACTGACTGGAGCATTCATTACCTTATTTAGAACTCCAAGGAGTGGTGAAGAACTGAACCGATACTTACCTGACAATTATGTATATAAGAGATGGAATTAATCCTATGATCTATGGAAGAATTAATGATACTGGTAATGCTGATACAAATGACTTACAAGGTACAAAGGTTTTCAAGATGCCACCCGTAGTTTAAGTTGGCAAATTCAATTAAGCAATTCCCAGAAATACACAGAATTTGAAGCGCAATCATTATCATAAATCTTTTACTATTTAAGAAGAGCTATACAGTACATGACAGTTTAAGTTTTTCGTATCGTCAATACAGAAAGAACAAATTCATTATTGGTATGTCATTTGAAAAAATTGCAGATGTCAATTTTACTGGTTATAATTCTAAAATGTCAGGTATTACCAATTTTCGAGTTAAAGGAGCAGAAGGAGCATTATTAGACCCTAATGAACAAATCACTGAGGGTTTCAGAGACTGTTCTGGAATTGAGAGAAAGTGGTAGTATTGTCTACTTCCAAGGAAATTGAAAATTTAAAACATCCCAGGAAATAAAAAAATCCAAAATTCCAATTTTCCAAAATTCCAATTTTCCAAAAAAACCAAAGAAACCAAAATAACCAAAAAAACCAAAAAAAACAATTCTGCACAGACCATGGGGGGAAGAGGGGGTGAGGCAAAGTCCTGGCACAATTGTTTTTTTTGTTTTTTTTGGTTTCTTTGGTTTTTTTGGAAAATTGGAATTTTGGAAAATTGGAATTTTGGAAAATTGGAATTTTGGAAATTGCCTTTGGGGGAGGGGGGGGTTGAGGCAGAATAGTATTCTTTCAGTGGCACAAAAATCAATAGAAACGCAATACAAATATAGTAATAGAAACACAATACAAACAAAATGAAACAATGCAAAAACGCGCCGCTCAGAGCGCTCCTTTCTGCGTAGTGTAGATGTATATATATAAATACATGTTTGTGCCCATCCTGGAAGTAACAGTGCGGCGAATGATGGCGAATGGTGTTTTCATCGGCCAAACCACGTGTGAGCCGGTGCTGAACAGCGGAGGCGATGTGTGGGACCGCTCCTGTGTCTGGCTGAGGCAAAGCGCCATGATATCCTGTGCCAAAGCAATCTCCATGGCTCGTGCCGCCCAAACACAGAGTGAAAACGTGAAGGCTGAAGGGTGTTGGTGCTGGTGCCCCTCCCATGCTTGCGGAAAAATCTGCACGAGGAATAAGGAGCAAACACCCAGGTCAAAATGACTCTCACTTGAAAACAAAGAACTTCTGTAGTGCTGTTGCCGGCTTCACTGGACTGGACTGAAAGAAGTATGGCTTCTATGAAAGCCTTCTCCGCTTCAGCCGTTCGATTCGACGAACGCCGGTCCAAACCGAGCCAGGCGGTTTCTGCCGCTGGAAGGGTCAATCATGGTCTATGTGATTTGGCCTTGTTCTTTGGCAATGGAACTTGGCGAATCGGAGTACCTTCCCCAAACAATGCTGTACAGGATTGGAAAAGGGTATGGTGTTGTCGGATGGAGGCCAGTGTTAGAGAGTAATTAAAGGCTGCAATGCCAAAATGCCGCGAGATGCCAAGAGCATGGGCGAAGTTGGTGCAGCACCCAAGCCCAAAGGTTGTTGATGAACTCGACTGAAGCGTTTAATCGAGAGCATCATCTTAATTTGTTTTTGTGTTTTCTTTTTTAAACATCTCTTGCGCCTCAGCGAATCGTTCTTGAAAGGAATTGAATTTTTAAGGCTCTCTAATTATATATAGTTGAGCAACGTTGAGCATGGAATAGTTCTTGACAATGATAAGGCCCGCTACTTGGGGCACGTGCCCAGGTCCATATGCCTCAGCCTGCTAGATGAGCATCTTTTGCACGTCCGCCTTTTTCTCTCCCAAAAGTTGCCACACTGCGTCCTTTGTCTCTCTCCAATGGAACAAGGAGCCAGTAGGTTGGAGGCCATCGCCATATACTAGGTCGGAGGCCATCGCTGTTAGGTTGGAGGCCATCGCTATTAGGTTGGAGGCCATGGCTATTAGGTTGGAGGCCATCGCTACTAGGAACAAGAAGCTACTAGTAACAAAATGATGCTCTCACAAGAGCGCTCGATCAGAAGCTGCGCACCGGGGATGCAGTTTTTGCGTTGAACACCGGGGATGCCAGGGTCAGGCGACTCCCAGCGATGTGAGCTAGTAATCCTATTCGACCTTCCTTCTTGCGTCACGGTCAAAATGCAGCCAGGCCGAAGTCAAGCCCAGTTACCATATGGCTTGGGTGAAAGCAAGAAACCTCTTGAAGCAGCTGCCATCTTGTGAGCTCTCAAGGATGTAGCACGAGATAGCACGAGGAAGAGCATTAGGAGCAGTGACTACAGTACAGGTTAGTCTCTACGAACCAACTCTGGAACATCTCGGAGGCAAGTACTGACGCCGCCCAGGCGCCAAGGGGCGGAACCGGCCGGTCTCACAGCTCATCCAATGTGAGTTCAGCTGGGAAGGCTGTCTTCCCAGTCTTCTCCCTTGTAGACTCTGAAGCTTCCATTAGTTCGTCCAGACTCATCTCGACTTCGCGTCGATCCGCTGATCCCTCTTGCGAGGTGGCCGCGAGCTCCTCGAAGCGCATGGCTTGGCGAACTCGCGCGTGGGGCGACGAACTCGCTCGAGGCGGCGCGCTGGGCCTCGGAACGCAGCGACGATCGAGACCAGTGGAACTGCCCCCATCAGGGCCGAAGTGCCCAAGAGTTGGATGGGTTCTGAAGTTCTGACATTATCTGATGGTTTGGGGTTTATAAAGCAGATCAAGGAACAAAACATCCCAAGGGAGAGCGGAGAAATCCTGAAAACCATTGACGTCCCACCCTATCGCCCCATCACCAACCAAAACTGCAAGTCTGCGAGGTTCTTCCGTGTTCCTCCGGTGCCTGTCCGAACTGCTTAACATTGCTTAACAATTACCTTCACATGCTTCACCACCCGCCGCCCCTTCCTGGTGTGCCATGCCAGGCGGCTTTTTCGGCTTGTGCAGGACCTCGAAGGGATCCGCTTTTGGGGTGGTCTTGAGGCCCTCCACATCGGTGTCCACGGCCGAGGTGAACAGGGCTGACACAGCCTCCCTGCTGTTGAAAACATGTTCAAACTGGCAAAAAGACGTGATTTTGGACCCTTTGTGGAGTGGTGAGGCCTGGCAGCCCTATGAGAACAACATGGGAGGCTCGTGCTGGTCGTGCTGTTTGTCGGTCTGGCTAACCCTTTCCGTTGAATGGACCAGGATCTGGTACAGGATCCATCAGGATCCCTCCGACTGATTGCAGTGTGGCTAGAATCCTCAAGTGAGTTACTAGTGGCCCCAGTTCTCATCCATGGCTGGAACTGAAGATCCTAATGGAACTGGGGGCCAAATGGAACTAGAACATTTGTCTCATCCATTTGGATGAATCCAATTGGAGCTGAAGATCTAACTCCAACGCAAACCATATCGGCTAGAGCACAAGGGTTTGACCAAAATAAGGAGTGGCGGAGTGGGGTACAGTTTTGGACGCTTTGCGGGTTTTCAATGTGCGTGTGGCACGCCAAAGAGAAGTCCGCCGCTGGATCGCTGGATCGAGTACAGTAGCAATAGAACCAAGTGTTGAACATCACATCTAAAAACAACATGCCAAAAGCAAAAGGATTCTGTTTCTCCAAGCTTCAGGTTCTGATATGTCTTTCGTCGGCTCTTACAAAAGAGGTTGAAGCTCACCATGGCTGCACCGGCGCTCGTTTTGCTTGCCCAAAGGTCCTCCAGGTGACCCCGGAAGTTTCGATCATTGAATATTGGCAGGCGAAGGAGGACGCAGTCGTACCTGGGGAGGGGCTGCAGATCAGTTGGGTTCGGAGATTCAGAAAGAGGTGGTTCCAAAGATCTACCCAAAACCTGTCTGGTAGAGACTGGGAGAAATACGCGAGAGGCCCCACGCGTGTCTTGGGGACACACGAGATGCTGACGGATGATCCTAGGCCTGTGCATGGGCGAGTCTTAAGTTGGTGTCACATAGAAACCCCATGTGGTCCAACCAAAGACTGATCAAAGGCACTTGATTTTCTCCAAGAACTTGAGGAGCGGTGACTTCGTTTGCCTTGGATTCCGGTATTCCAAGAAGAGCAAGGGCTTGAACTTTCCTCAGGTCGCAGCATGCTCAGTCTCGTGGCCGTGGAGGGTGTGGCGATGGTGGAGGCATGCAACATCTCAGGTGCGACAACCGAGGGTAATGGGTTGGTCATGGTTGGACTTACTGTATCAATGCACACTGTACATCATCAATGTTTTGAAGGTCAGCAACCCTTTGGCAAGTCATGGTCACCGTCCACTCAGGCCTGAACAGGAGAGTCAGCAAATGTCAGCAGTGCTAGATCTTGGAAAACTGGGATGGGTCAAAAGCTGAGTCTTTTGAAGCCTCTTGCTGGCAGGGGCCACACTAGGACACAATCCAAGGTACATCCTCATAGGTTGAAGAATCGCCAGCTGTTAGTCTACTACTCCTCTTCATCCCAAACAACAGGTGGGGAAGGGCCAAACACACAAAGATCTGGTGGAGCCGGGGCACCAAACGCAAACCGGCTCCCAAAACGAATCCACATCGATGGGTTTCACGTCACTTGCGTCACAACTCACGACCAACCACAGGTCATCCATGCGAATCTCCTGCATCAACCACCCACAGGTCGTCCAAATCCCCAAGGACCTTTCCGTTCGTGACCGTAATTACTTGAGATCCCGTTCGTGGCTGAGGTCGACAAAAAGACCCCAAAGAGGTCATCACTTGATGTAGACTCTTGATTAATAACCCCACCATTTGAATTAGAAAATCCTCTTCGCCGCCAGTTTCTTGCATTTCTTTTTCGGGGCGAGTCGTCCCGGTGTTCGAGTCCTGCAGAGTCCTGCTAGGCTTAGCCCAGCTTCTCAGGAGAGTCCCGGCACCCTTCAGGACATCAAGTTCCATGGCTTCCGCATCGATCTTGATGAAGTCCACTTGAGACAAGGCCAAGCTGTCCTGAAAAAGAGTCAAACATAGCGTGTCGTGAGAAGCGCGTTGATCGTCACAAGAATAGCATACTCTAAAGACGTTCGTCGCCTCCATCAAGCAGGTATGGAAAACACATTTTGACTGATTGAACAGGCTGCACTGCACTTCTGATACTACCAGGCATGACAGAGGCGTCACGCACATCCCTCAAGAACTCGAGCGTAGCGCGTGGCCCCCGGGTCAATGTTTTCGGGTCAATGTCATCAGGAACTCTTCCAGCGGGTCATGCAAACCGTCCCAGTCCCGGCTCAATATGAATCCCAACCCTTCCGGCGGCCCGGCGTGCACCAGCTTCAAACTAGAAGCACCAGCTCCTTGCCAAACCGTTCTTGAAGGAGGTTTACACCTGAAACTTGATGGTTTCTCGAGCACACATCCACCACCCAAGGGTCCAGCTTCATGACTGCATAGACGTCCCAATGCACTGCAGGCCTCTCAACCATAGGTCGGATCTCGACGCCTTGGAAGCCCATGGAGCCATAGTTGAAGAAGTCGTGCTGCTGGAATGCCAGGAGACCACGATCCATTATCCTCGACACGTGGGACCCATCTGGTACCAGGTTTGTCCAAGACTGACCCGTCATGCGAGCCACTTGTGCCCCTGCAAGCCAAGGAAGAGGCGAGGAACACACTGCCGAAACCTCTTGCATGTGGCAAAACGGGACACAACCTACTACTGTATGAGCTTCATGTTTGCGGATGCATGTGCAATGTTCAATGGTCTGGCAGCCTGGCATGAGGACAGGCTTTGTTTTTGGTGTCTCCCAAGATTGGCCCACCCACCCTCCTCCCCGAAGATGGTGGGAAAAGGAACAATGATTCATACACATGGATCGGTTGGTGGACCTTGAGTCAAAATGACAAACCCAGAAAGAGACAGAATAATGCAATTTGCCCACAGTGTCAAGGTTGGTGGTTTCAACTCACAACATAAATGAGCCGGTGCAAGGTTGCAGGTTAAACATAAACATATCTGAAACACAACTGAACATATCTCGGACATGGTGAAAACAAAGCCACCTAAAGTTGTCCAACCACCACCACCCGGTCTTTATGCACCTCCAAGAATGGAACGTCCAAGATTCATGTGCCCAGCTTCATGTGCCACCACTGCCCGATGCACCTCCACGTTCCTGGTGATGCTGAACCAAGCACAGCTAGAGTGACTGAAGGAGGAATCGACTTGCCGAAACAAAACTGTGAACAAAATGCCTTCATTCAACACATATGTTTCTCCAGTTCGATAGATTTCCCGAGAGGGCGGACAGTGTTGAACCAAAGGTTGGGCTACGAGGCACAAAGACTTGCGATATCCAAAGATACATGTTCTGCAACGTGCCCGGAGGTCTTTGCCCATGAAAAGGGTGAGCCAGGTCGTCTCGAGGTAGCTATATGTAGCTAGATATGGTTAGTGGGGCAAATTGTGAAATCACATTACAAAAGCATGGCACAAAAAAGGCATCTGAAACATCTAAAACATTCTAAAACAACACCTCCTCTGATGCTAGGCTTCTCCAGGCCATTTAACGCGGTGTTGGCCACCAAAGCAGCAAAGGAGGGGTAGAAGGGCTCGAAGGCTACCACGCGTCCCCTGTCGCCCACCAACTGGGCCAGGGGCAAGGTCAAAGTACCTTGAACGCATCAAACCTCCGAGTGGTACCGAGTCTGAAACCATCGGACCGGAACCAACGGACATCCGAAACTGGATGGAAGACCTCCGATTTGGGAGTGTTTCCTGGAAAAGAAGCTTTCAGAGTCCATGTTCAGCTCAGTGAGGTGCATATATCACAGAATTAGACATAAGTAGTACAGTAAGTAGTAGAGTCAAGTGTGACACCCCCTCAAAGTGTCGATGCTCTTGGATGTACTAGGGCTGTTTCTGAACCTAGAGAGGTGGCCAATGGCAGTGGTGTGCAGCGAAAGGAGCGTTTTTCTGCACGGCGTCCCGGGCAAAGGCAAACATCACTGGTGGTTTGCTGGTCGCTCTACTCAAGCTCAAACCAACCACCAAGGGTTATGTCATGTTATGTCGGATGGTCTTTCAATCATGCACGGAAGCCCCCCCGAAGTCTACGCCATCTTCTACAACGCATGTAAAAAAACAGTGGTGTGTGGGTCCAAGCTGAGAGCTGAGGACCTGGGTCCCCACCCGTGCGTATGCTGCGTGAATCGGGGAGCGCACCGGAGCGACATTCCATGTCCACGGACGGTACCGCTTCGACGAAGTACTGGTGGTTCCAACCAGGAAAAGGCTTCATCTGGTGAACAGTACCAGGGTGCCGACATGAGCACCGACTTCGATGACCACATGACCTTCTTGGAGGAAGGAGCGCCAAAGATCAATCTTCTTCTCTCCCCACTCGCCGTAAACCTGAGGCGCCAGACGTCTACGGGAACTGCAACAAGACAGGCCATTTCTTCCGAACCAATGCGAACCAATCAGGGAAATACAGTGGGTTCAGAGTA